CTTTCGGGTAATTACGTAGACATCCGCCATTTGTATTAAAGTCAGGCAGTTTAGCGGTCGAATTGTTCTTGTTTCTAGTAGCTCTGGATTGGGAATAAAAAGTAGCCATTCGCCGATACTTATCTGATGAGCGTTAACCATTGTTTAGAAATCCTAGCGGTTTAGCGGGTCAGTGAATACTGTTTCTCTTAGTATTGAATTAGGAAGAAAAGTGATAATTTTTTGAGCATCTATAGTTTAGTTGGACTAGTTTTCGTGTGGCGGATGTAGTCACACTATTGTTGTTGACTTCTATCAGTGCCATTATCGCTCATTACCACCCACTGTCACCCATCATCGACGTCGTGTCACGTTAGCCATTCGCTAGTATGTGCGATCTGTGCTAATTTGGAAAAGCGTAACCAAACTTGTCACATTCACATTCTAGCGGCACTTATCGGCCCATATCAGTAGTTATCACTTCTCATCACACGCCATTCGTGTCCGCTTCCCATCCGCCGTATTTCTTGATCCAGCATTCCACTGCCACCACGAAGGGAGTAACGAACTCATACAGTCGATATCTCGAAGTCTGATTGGGCGTGTCACCGGAAATGACGTGGCAGCCACCGCACTTGATAGATGTTGTGTGGATAAAATACTCCGCCAGATATCAGCAAAGCGTGTTGGAAGCAGCTTATCCGCGCAACTTCTATCAAGTGCGGTGGCTGCCACGTCATTTCCGGTGACACGCCCAATCAGACTTCGAGATATCGACTGTAATCGGTCCTTATCATTTTTCTATACGTTTTTGATCACCAACTATCTGTGTCCTCGTTCACCTTCCAGTGCTTAGTGGGTTGGGGGGACCACGCGGCACTCTGCTCGCCTAGCATGTTTGCGTACTCCGGAAAATCCGTGAGCCAGGGGGAGTGAAGGCAGTATGTGGGCCAGGGGGAGTGTAGGCAGTCTAGGGGGTGGGGGTGGGGCAGTCACTTGACATGCGTGAAAAGCTGGAATGTTCGAGTTTACACTGTCTCGCTCGAGAGAGCCCAGGTGAGCAGACTGCCGCGCCGCCGCGTGGCCCCCCCAACCTAGTTAGCACCCAGCTTCCTACATCATACGTAAGAATCAATGTGCTGCTGCACCGTTAATTGCGTAATGTAATCGGTGATAGTCATCAACTCTTATCAGTCGTCATCACTTTGGACCCTTCACCGTCTGTGTATACATCCAGTCACATAACCATACGTCAAAATCAACTTTCCTCTGTTACTGCAAAGGAAGCAACGAAAATGTTGGTAGTCTTATTCCGATTCTCCTGATCAGCTAGTTATCACTTTGGATCACTCACCATCTAAGTTCCCGTCAAACCCCCTATAACACTTGTAAGAACCAATATCCCCACCATTGTGCGACGCGTGCTATGAATTTTATGGCACAGATCGGCAAAGCGCTCTATACATAGTAGGGATAAAGTGCGAAAAGCAGATGCGCAAATGAGCATGCGTCTTTCTAGTTCCTGTCGGTTGTAATTTAATAACGGATTTTTTGTATTTGCTGAAGTTGGTTTCTACGAAAGCTGACGCTTATAGCCTTCGGTAGGAAACCTTGAAAGCTCATCTAAGCAAAGAAGAGACACAATCACTAACGGTTAACGAGTTGTACACCTTTTATTAGATGTAGATAAGCACTTTAGTTTTGTTGATTCTTTCCAGAGCCTAAATGCTTCGTTAGCATTATATTGCTTTGAGATAGGGCGGTATAGCGATAAATTACATGCGCATATTACTGTCAAGGAATCCAAATTTGTTTTGAAAAAAAAATCGACAAAGCACATTCAGTTCTGCAACGTGAACTTGCTTTTTTCAGTTCAGAGATTTCAAAAGCGAATTGAATGTTAAATCCCTTTTGCTCGTGTTGCTAAAGTTAGGGTGGGAGTCTGTGCTTTTTTGCAATCTACTGCCAAACATTTGTGTTTTGCCAGATCATTCTTCGTGGGAGTGCTGAGCAACGCGTCGGCGCGATCCATGTTTTTTATTTTTCAATGTAATGTACTTTTTTGTAACTGTGTGCTCGAATAGGGTGGCAGACAAACGAAAGGCATGATGCAGCAATACAGAAAAGCAGTTGCATAAATAGTTTGTGCTTAAATAAACGAGAGAATAAATGTGGGCAAAGCTTGGACAATCAAGTGCTGTGTCAATGTTTTTCATGTTCAGTGACGCTTTGCTGTCGGAGTTTGATTCCCTCATACAATTTGTGGACTCTTCGTTCGACTTCTTCCAAGCGGAATTCAGTCTCATGTTGTATCCAGTTTTTGCACATTCCTACATCAAGCTACTTATGGAAAATTCTGTGAATAATGGTAAGTGAATGGACCGTTTCACACAATTATTCATCTTATGTGTGTAAAATCAGCGTAAAGGATGGAATACTCAGCAATCGCCGTGCAAGCTCACATGTATTTATTGTATTGCTTGCTACTTGTCGCCTAAGAAATACTATTTATATATGTCTTCCGGCCACCTAATAAGTGAATGGTTCCATCCCATTTTGCAACAGTAACAGTGCGATTCATCCTCACCAGCATTTCGTAGAGGCGCTATTTTATAACGTTCACGTTTTCTGCGCTTATACTTTTTCTCAGGCCCAAAGGTGTCCTCTTGTTTTTCTATCCACTTACTGAACGCCATTCCGGCTTCTTTTACTAATTCCTTGATATCGTAGCACATGCCATAGGGAGTGAACATTTTTTTCATCAAATTTAAGTCCATGCGTTGTGAGAATTTT